ATGTAGAATTAGCAATTATATGTGCTATAGTACTTTGGCAGTCTCTGAGTCTGGACCACCCAACTTAGACCATTCTGTACTTACAAGTGGGCTTCAAAGTCCCCTCATAGGGAGAATTTGTAACTAAATAATTAAATTAATAATTGGGGAACTAGTTTCTTCCATGCATGTAAACAAACCCCCAGGGCAGAGTGGTTCACTGGCACAGCATCCATCTTCTCTAGATAGAGAAGCAGCTGATGGAAACACCAGACTAGGGAGAATCAGGTGATCCAGAACCAAGAAAGTTCATCACAAAGAGTTAGCAGAAGCCTTTCATCTCACTCAAACAGGATTTGCTAAGCTCCTAACACTGAGCAGTTTTCAGAGGTTCGCTGTACCGTTAGTGAGAACATCAGAGGCTACAAGGCCACTTAGGATGAAGAAAAGGGAGGGCCGTGCAAACAACCAGGGGTGCCTTTTCCAAGAAGCCAACTTCAGTGGTAAGCTGCTCTCCTCCCCCGGCAACAGGATCAAATCCTGACTCTCCAGCGCCCACACCAGCCTCTCCATCATCATCTTCTTCTTAATCTCATCTTGACTCAAAAAAGCACTCCCTCCAGTGGGCAAGACACTGTTGCAACTTTTAATATACTTCTATGAAATTTCTCCTGTCTCCTATCTAAACTTTTTATATTAGTTTCTTTATATTCTGTTTGACTTAAAAGAAGGACTACAATAGTTTCTATAACAAAACTATTACAGTACAGGTCTACTATTATTACAGTATTAAATTCTATTATTACCACATGAGCCCTTGTAGTATTGATGTTGTTATTAGTATTACTGCATATGCCCCATTCATCAAGAATCTGAGTTACATACAAATCTGGCCTAAGGATGTTCTCATAAAATCCTCTCTTCTGCAACCCAGGGACCACCTGTGTATTGCTTCAGATTGTAGTTTGACAGGTTTCTTAAACATGATAGAATTACTCAAACTTCTTCTTCATATATTAATGCGATATTTTTATGTCCACCCTGCAAAGATTTATGAAGATCCTCCTGAAATATGTTCATGTGATACCTTGACTAGAACAATCTTTTAGGTTCTGAAGAAGGTCAACTGACCGTTGACCAGAAACACAAACAAGATCCTCACTAATGAGCAAGTTCACGTCCAGCCAATCAGCTAAAATTGTAGCTAATTCACTCATTAATCCACTTATTAAGTACCTGGGCACTATGAATTTGAAGACAGACCAATTTATAAGTGCTGAAACAGAAATTTAACTAAACAACTCAAAAGTAGAAAGTTCTACATCTCAGAGAGTTCAGGAGAGAATTATCTCAGCCTTGATGGTTTTGAGTTTTCCAGTTAAATAAGAGAAGGGAAGACACAGGAACCAGCAGGTGCAAAAAGCCACAAGAGACAAAAAGTCCCTTGATCAACTCGGTGATCTGAGAAACTCTAAGAACCAGAATATAAGTGGAGATAGTAGCACAAGATAAAACACATAACGCCATGCTAAAAAGTCTTGGTTTTATCCTGTAAGAAATAATGAGGCACTGAAGAATTTTAAGCAGAAGATGAATGTGACAAGATTTGAAATTTTTAAAAGATCATGCAGGTTACAGTGTGGAAAAAGAACTAGAGAGGGTAAAGAAAAAGAGCTGGTCCCAGGAGAGGCAGCCAATTCGAGGGCGGTCTGTGACAATCAGGAGAATAGAGACCTGGATCAAGGCAAGTGAGGCTCAGAATGGGACAGGGGTATGGAAACTTATCAGGGGTGTAAAATCAGTGGTCGTGTGATGAAGGGCGTGAAGGAGAGGAGGGAGAACAGGATGATTCCAGGTCACTGGGCAGCCTATGGCATTGCCAGAAACTGAGAGAGAAAATGTAGGTAGAGGGGAAAATCAGTGAAGAAAAATTATTTTTAATACACACTAATCTGTGGTATAACATGCCTGCCGTGGAGGTGTCCAAGAACCTGCTATAAAGGCTGCTGCCCGCGCTGCCACCTCGGCCCCCAGAGACCATGCCCTTCCTCATTGCCTACCGAGGAGCCCCTGTGGTGGGCAGCCTTTGCCCAGAGATTCCCCATCAGCCCATCCAGGACTTTCCAGAACTGTGGTGCCGCTGAGGCTCTTCAATCTAATCTGTCTTCCTCTCACGGCCACTGGACCTGTGCTGGGAGCTGATGGTCCTCCCTGCCTACTTCCGCTCCTTCCCTCTTGATTCTCCTGACACGTCCCTGACACTATATGTTAATCCCATTTAGGAAGATGCCCCATGCAGACATCTTGCAGGACCCCAGAGACACAAGGGGGTGGGTAAGATGGCGAATAAGCAGGCAGAGTGATAGATGTGGGAGTTGTGCTCAGGAATCACTGAGCCTTGGGTGAAGATGAATTTTCTCCAAAGCTACAGATCCTCGGGAGACCCCAGTACTTCATAACCTAGTGGTGCTAACAGCTGGAGAGGGGGTGTTGGCATGAGGCAGGCAACGTTGGATATTTGGAATAGGTGATGTGCATGAGGTTTTAGATACCTTAGATCATAATGTAGCATTAGAAACAGAGGAATTTTTAGCACCCACCACTGTCCTAATTTTAATCTGTGTATAAATAAGTGACATCCTATAATTCTTGGATCTCCATGCCAGTGTTGCAATATGAGCGACAGGTTTGCTCCATCCTTTCCAAGCACAAGATACTAAGT